CATAGCGTTCCTCTCCTCCCGTCTTAGGCTCTTAAAGAAGAATTATTACAGCCTTCCTCAGTGCAATTGTCCTCGTGAAATTTGCCCAGTCATTCCTCCATCCTCTCCAGTAACTGAGTACTAAGGCAACCCCCCTTGCAGTCTTCAGAAGTAGGCTGTCCCAAAGTGCACCTGGAATAATTTCTACCACAGTCAAGTTACAACAGGTGAGTAGCATAGATGCACTCAGCTATCTAGTTGCAACAGCTTGGATGACATCCCTATTACCACAAAGTAATTCCACTCCCTTTTCTCAGCCCGCCTCAAACATCCTTTCCAAGTGGGCAGAAAGTTTAACCTGACCATTGACATATGGGCCCGCTCTCTGGCTAGGAAAATATATGGCTCAGAGAAGCTGTTATCAGGATTTGATAAGACTGGAGGTAAGCCAGAAGGGAGGGGTTGCCTCACTGGGCTGAGCTGTCAGACTCCCAGGCCATTTGAATCAGAAAAACAAGCAGGCGTGCATAAGTGCTTGCGCTGTTCTTCAGAGAGATTGGATTACACTCCACTCTCACACCCAATCCCCTAATCTAATTAAGTCTACCCATCTCCAGTGGGATTATGAAACTGTAAACCAGGTAAATACCACAGCAAGGGAGAAGATATGAAGGAACGGCACCAAAAGGGACAGTGCATGTTACACTTCTCCTTGCAAACAACTACCGAAGTACAAACCTGCAATGGTGCTATATGGCTGTGGGCTGGTGTTACCAGAAATGGGAGGGAGGGTAAAGGCGTCATATGGAAGACTCAGAACTAGGGAGGAGTAATTACTTAGGGGCAGAGCACTTGCTTTGAACACCAGAGGGCCTTGACAACTCAGGCCTTGACAACTCCAGTTTAAAGATCTTAGGGAGCTGGTGTTGGAAAAGACTTCTTTTATATAGAGATATAAACTGTAGTGGGGGGAGCCTGCAGTTTTAAAAAGATCAACTGGAAAGGGGGCTATATTTCTTCCTGCACCCCATAAAAATGCCATCCCCAAGGAGCTTTTACTTCTGTTGGGAAAAATTTATAAAACATCTCTACATTTTGTCTAGCAGAAGCAAAACCAAGGAGGGAGGGGGATAATTATCGTATGGCATTGTGAACAGAATAGCCAGGAGAGCCTAAGATTGTCTGGCAGCCAGAAGTTCTAGCTCCTTTAGCATCATGCACTATTAGGTGGCAAGCTAGACTTGTTTTTAATGTTTCAGAGGTGGTTTGCCATTGCCTGTCTCTGCATCACAACCCTGGCATTCCTTGGAGGTCTCCCATCCAAGCACTTGCCAGGGCTGACCCTGCTTAGCTTCCAAGATCTGACAGATTGGGCTGGCCTGGGCTATCCAGGTCAGGGCAAAGGGAGGGGGCAGTAAGGAAAGAGTTAAATAGCTCCTCTGCACACAAACGCACACACCCCTTTTCCTTTTGAAATTGCAGTCTGAATGGCTATAGTCTATTAAAAAAAAAAACAGTCTGGAAAAATAATGACAAAACTTCCCATAATGTGTAGTTGCACTTTAAAAGCAAAACTAGACATAACAGAAAGACTCATATGTACTAATACACATGTCCACCGGCTCAGCACTCAAGAGGCACTGTGTGGATCAATTTTATAATAAAAATGGAGCATGTGGGTAAGGGGGGGGGGTGACACCCTGCCTCTGTCTTTTCAGCTCTTTTCTTTCAGCCTGGCTCCTCTCCAGTGTCAGTGGTGGCCTGAAAGAGTTACACGCAAATCCACTGAGTGCTGCATGCTAAAGTGAGGGGAGGGAGAAAGCTTTAGTTCCACTAAGGGATCTTTGCAGCAGCAGGCCTCCCATCCCACATAAAACATGAGGGCAAATATATGAGGATCAGGTTTCTGGTGCTAGTCTGGCTGAGGCTTTCAAGCTGTGCTCTGCATCAAGGGGTTTTATTTATCTAATTTTCAGTTTCTGTTTGTGCCTGTTATCTTGTTTTCTGTTCTTTATAAGTTTATTTTAGATGCTTCTTTTTATTTTGTTTTTCTCATTGCATTTGGACTGCCTTCATGGGGGATTACTATCGGCGGATAGCCAGTTCCCTTGCCTCACTCCCTATTAGGTTTAATTGTTTATTTTAAACTGTATTTTTGTATGTTTTAATCTATTGTAAATCACCCAGGTTGTACTCAGGGATGGGATGATTCAGAAATTCAATTAATGATGATGATGATGATGATGATGAAAGGGAAATGGTGCGATGTTTCTAGCAGTTCTGTAGTTTTATTTATTTTATCTCTTTTTTCAGTTTTCTGACTATCTGGAACTTTCAGAAGACCAAGAAGATTTATCCGTTTAAACTCTGACAGCTTCTTTTGTATTCTCCCTCATTATTCCCAGGGGTGAGAGTGCTGGGTGGGAGAATGCTGCAGCTGCCTGCAGGTTTTATTTTAATTATTGAGTTTAGGTTAGTTCAGGCCTTTCCAGGGTACTATTGGTTTGCCTTTTATTATCTTTGTCGTTCAAAGAGAGCCAGCGTGGTGTAGTGGTTCAGAGAGACGGACTCTAATCTGGAGAGCCAAGTTCGATTCCCCATTCCTCCACATGAAGCCAGCTGGGTGACCTTGGGTCAGTCACAGCTCTTTCAGAGTTCTCTCGGCCCTAAAAACAAGTCTAGCTCACCACCTAATGGTGCATAAATATAAAGAGCTAGAACATCTGGCTGCCAGACAATCCCAGGCCCAAAGGATGCCAGGCTGACAACAACCAGGGCCTTCTCAGTGGCGACTGCATACTGGTGGAACAAGCTCCCAGAAGAGATCAGGGCCCTGCAGGACTTTTTACAGTTCTGCAGGGCCTGGAAGATGGAGCTCTTCCACCAGGCTTTCGATTAAGGCGCCGCATTATACACCGAGGAGTGTCCCTGTGCCCTGGCTTCACCATCATCATCTCCAGCCTGTACTCTGGTTTACCACCTTTGCCGCCACATAATAAATTGGGTGATCTGAGCTGGCATAAACATCATCAGAATATACAGTTACCTAAGCTGTTTTTAAATAACTTGCTCTCGTTTTTATCAACTTATGTTCCAGTGTGTTAGGCATATTTTAAATGAATGCTGTTTTATGTTTATTTGCTCATAACAGGTTTTAAATGTATTTCTATGTGGTGACTCAAGTGGTTAAGACGCTGAACTGCAGGTTGTGGAAGGTCGATAGTTCCGCAGTTCGAGATCCGAGTGCACCGCATGACGGAGTGAGCTCCCGTCTCTAGTTCCAGCTCCTGCCAACCTAGCAGTTTGAAAGCAAGAAATTGCAAGTAGATAAATAGGTACCACTTCAGTGGGAAGGTAACAGCATTCCGTGCACCTTGGTGTTTAGTCATGCCGGCCACATGACCACGGTAATGTCTTCGGACAGCGCTGGCTCTTCGGCTTTGAAATGGAGATGAGCACCGCAACCCTAGAGTCGGATTTGACTGGCTTTCAAGCAAGGGAACCTTTACCTTTACTTTTTATGAAATTTTATGTAAGCCTCCCTGAGCCCACCTCGGCAGGGGAGGGTGGGATATAGGCGGAATTAAATAATTAAATAATTTTACACACAATGCCAGATGACGACGACAATGATTTCCAGGCTATTATTAGTTTGTCTCTTATTAGCTTTGGAGTTTGAAGTTCATTCCTTTTTTAAAAAATTAGATGGCAGCTGACCTTGGCTTGTCCAGGTATTTTCTCATTCCCCTCTCCCCCTTGAAAATGACAAGTTTGATTGGTTTATTACCTGGGTTGGGGGGGGGGGGGATGTATTAAAATGAGTAAAAAACAGGACTAAAGATAATGCATATATGTGGATCCCCCACCCCCATCATCTCTGGTTTAGCCCTTAAGAAAATCTTACAAACCACAAAGCTGTGATGGACCCTAAGTAAATATTGGGAGAAATACTACAAGAACATCACATTAAAGAGTAGCAAATCCCAGTTTGCAATGACTGTACAATTAATAGGGAGCTGCATCTGATCTACAATAATCAGGTGTCTCTGAACCCCTGTTTGCCACAGTGTAAATTCCTTAGGGTCACAGCTAAAAACATGAAACGTAAACAAGCTCTTGCTTACTTTCACAAAGCCTCCGATTTGCCCTCTCAAAAAATGCAAGGGGCAAGAGTGCTACCCAGAGCTACACAGCCAATGTTCCTCCCAGATGGAGGGAAAGGAAGGAACCCACGGATAGCCATCTTCATCTAATTTATCAAAAGAAAGAAAAAAGCTCTGCCGCCTCTGCTGGTCACCTCTGCCCTTGGAAAACGACTGGACTACCGAGCCACAGCTTTCTCACCCTCTATTGGTACTCTGCCAGGTAAAACCATTGGATTCAGTCCTAACAAAGCATCAGTGCCCATGAGCTGCACCTGCATATGAAGAGACTCAGTCAGTATTGCAAAGTGGGAAGGGCCGAGCAACCTTTTCACAATTTGTCTGACGGTTTCCCAGCTTTGAGAATCCTCTCCATGCAGAGATACAGGTATGGTCCCTGTAATTTTCCTTCACCCAGAGGGCATCACTTTAAAACAATATGCCAGACAAATCCTTTTGTTTACTACAGTACTCAACAGAGGTGGCTCTCTCCTCTATAAAAGTCCCCATTTCTTAGTCTACTCACCCACCATATTCTCCTTGTACCCCAAACCAAACTGTTTACCCCATTGATTATCCAGCCTGACAGAATCAATTAATTTCCTGCCTTAAAATTTAACCTCTGTCCATGACCCCGTTGCCCTCCAAGCTGTAACCATTACAAGATGCCCTTAAGGAACTGCTATAGGGGAAAGGTGATGCTACAGCTAGTCAAGATACAGGTGCAATATTAGTGTTCCTCTTTCACGGGACATCTCAATGAATCGTCTCCTGAACTTTCAGTCCAGCTACTTCAGTTCACTATCTCAATCCCACTGTGACTGCTAACCATCAAGACCAAGCATCACTCCCTTCCAAAGCAAGTGCACAGATTCTCACCTGAAACACATCTCCATTCACAGTGGCCCCTGTGCTCTCAAAATCAACTGCAGAGAAAGGAAAAGAACAAAGTGTTAGTTATTTGCATTGCATTCATTTATATCGCCAATGGCTCTCCCCTCCTCCATTTTCTCACAATAACAACCCTGAGGCAGGAAAAACTGAATTATTTTCCCCTCACAATAACAACCCTGTCAGATCTCAGAACCTAAGCAGGGATGGCCTTGGCTAGTATTTGGAAGGGTAACCTCCAAGGAGTATCAGTGTCTGAGGAATACCAATGGCAAACCACTTTTGAAACATCTCTTGCCTTAAAAAAAACAAGTCTCACCACCGAATAGTGCATAACGCTAAAAGTGCTTGAACTTCTGGCTGCCAGACAATCTTAGGATCTCCTGGATATTCTACACACAATGCCATAAGATTATTATTAATAATTATTATTTATTATTACAACCCTGTGGAGTAGGCTAGGCTGACAGATTGCGACTGGCCCAAAGTCTCCCAGCAAGCTTCCGTGACAGAGTGGTGATTTGAGTCCTAGTCTGACACTGTCCACTATACCATGCTGGCTCTCTGGACAATGGTGGGTGGCAGCATAAGGCTGGACCTGAAGTGTGGTACACTATACTCAGGAAATGGCTTCTTGCCTTATGGGCGGCGGGGGGGGGGGGGCAGCTCTGTTCGTTAGCACCTCTTCGTTGGTGGTGTGGGAAACAGGATGGAATGTACAAGAAACAGCAGGACATGGGAGTTGAAAGAAGATATAAGGAGGCTCCAGGAGAATTGAGAGCGACAGGCAGAAATTGAGGGTAACTGGGGACAGAGTGTGCAGGAATCTCTAATTCTCACATTCATCTTCCAACATCCCCAAAGTAAAACCTGGTAGCCGAGTCACTGGTTATAGTTTCCTCTTTTGGACAACCTTCCTGGTAATAGTATGTCTATCACTCTGTGACTCATTCTTCTAGATAAGGAACCAGTCGCTGTGTACAGGAAACTCTACAGAGATTAAAGTTGAATGGAATGTTCTTGGAAGCCTGATGCCTGTCAAAATCCCCTCAAAGGTCAATGGGACTTACTTTTCAGTAATTATGCTTAAGCTTTTTAGAAGTTAGGAAGGTACTGAAAGAATTATCGACGTGGGCTTTTGTGCGCAAGGACCTAGTTCACCCGATGCACAAAGTGGAAAGAAAAAGCAGTAGGGAAAGTATGAACACATGGGCAGAGGTAGAGCGGAGGGGAAAACAAAGTTAGTAACCTTAATAAGCCACCTGATGCTATGTATGTTTACTCAGAAGCCAACCCCTCCTGTATTCAAGGTTCCTTACAGCTAAAAAGGAATAGTACAGCCTAAATTACAATGGATAGAAATGCAAGCAACACATCCTGATTTACAGGAGATATAATACTGATACAAAAGAAAGCAGAGTAATATTTTTAATTAGCAGGACTAACCAAAATAACAAGCTTTTGTATTCCCCATGTTAATTCAGAGATAAAATAACATTCATCTGCTGGAATAGCAATGTGTCAGTAGGTAAAAACAGCAATGCCATTGCATGGGAACAATTACTTTTTTGCAAGAAGCTACCCAAAGGCAAAAATATCAGATTTCTTAAGACTTTTACAGCTTCTCATTCAAAGTGTTTCTTGAAGTTTTTTAAAGTTAAAGTGATTTAAGGGTTAGAGGGAGAATGTTCAGGAAGACTGAAACCTACTGGTTTTAATCTGTTTCTGTTTTAACGTTTGACTCGTGCCCATTTATCACTTTATGAAGGAACTGTCTGTGTAAACTGCAGAACAGCACTGTGGGCAGATGATGGAATACATGACCTCCACTGAGAATATGCCCTTGATAAATATTCCCATCCAAATGTTGTAGTGAAGGAAGAGGTTGCAAATGCCAAACTGCTCACTTGTAAAACGCCTGTTAAAGGCACAAGAACCATGTTCTGTATGAACCCTGTTCTGATCACCCTAAGAAGAGTTAGCTGCTGGCATATAGCATGTGTCTTAGTTCTCCCTAGGGTTGCTAAATGCCTGTTGCTGTAATTCCTGATTGCATAACAGTAGTACCCTGTGGAACATAATAGCTAATCCCTTTATTTCAGAAGGAAATCCCTTTATTTCAGAAGATTTACACAGATAAATCTACTTTAAAAAAAAAATTGGCCAGAAGAATCAAGTTCTGCCCTTGACCTGACATAATGGGAGAGGTTTTCCCCACCTACATCCTTATCCCATGGGGGGAGGGGACCTTGAAGTACCCTCCAGTGCAGTTCTAGACTAAACTAAACTGTCTTAAGGGCATCTAGTCCAGAAGGAATCTACTATAGCCACATCTACTATAGCCACATTTTGGCCTGTAATGAGGAAAGGACATTACTGAATTTGTTAAAGCTTCCAGACAGCTCACCAAGAGCATGGTTGGAAATACCAGCCGGCCTCTGTCAGTCCCCCAAGGCATTTGGAAACAGTAACTCGGGCTTTTCAAGTTACTGCCCTGCTTTTGTGGAATAGCCTCCTGGAGGAAGTAAGGCAGGTTTTTGCTCTCTTGACAAGGCTACAAAAACTGAATTATTTAGAAGGTCCTTTGGAGAAGTATGAGGGTTTTGTGACTATATCAGATTGACTGTAGCTGGTTGTTCTAACAACAGAATGTGTTTTGTTTTTTAATTTAGTTTTTAAAGGGGGGGGGGGTTTCCTGTGTATGTTTTGTTGATGGCCACCATGATCAGGACAGAGGTGAGCATGCAAGTATTTAAAATACATAAATAACCGTGGCCAAAGAGAACAAATTTCTTGTTTGGAAGCATGGTGCTTTCAGGTGTCCTTTCGCACCTGAGCGAGAATTGCCTTGCTGTGCTGTCCCCCATGCCTTGAAGAACAGTACAACACGGAGAAACTGCAGAGGTGAAGCTTTTCTCAGCATAGTGATAAAGTAGTCAGAAGAGCTTCCTCTCCTATATTTATGAGAACCAGACACATGTCAAGGGCACACGAGCAGAGCATTTGAAAAGAATCGACAACCCCAAGCAGAGATAAGGAAGGAAGTCAAGGAGGAAAAGTATTCCATGTGCTGCTTGTATACTTAAAGAGCATATTCCTTTCCTACTGCCACTTCCTTACAGATGCTTTTTCCCTTAACCTGACACAACTCCCACCTTGAGTATCTGACTACACCCAGAATGACTGTGTCTGGTCTGGCAACATTTGCAGAGACTCCTCCCAAAGTCAACGCAGAGCTTTGGGATGTCTATCTCACATACAATACACCCACAGAGAATCCAAACCCTTCCTTCTGCAGCCTGTCTACCTAGTCCTGCGGCAGTCAAGGAAGGAATTCAAGCTCTTTTGATGGGTCATGCTGAGCTGGCTTGCCCTTGGCCTATTTGCTAGAGACAAGTGTGGCCCACTAAGCTTCCTTTCCTCAGGTAGGTAGAAGTTGCTTTGGAGGGCTAGGGCTGCTTGTCTCTTATGAGACCCTCAAAGCACAGCCAGCCTTTGCTACAGGTATGAAGACTTTAGGATAGAAAGCCACTATAGTGAAGAGATGGGTCAAGTCACTTCTCTGCCACAAAATTCTTGACTTTTTTTTCTAAGCCTCAGTTGTGGGGTGGGGGTGGGGAATCATGGCTCAGTGACAGAGGACCTCCTTGGCATACAGGATGTCCCAGGTTCAATTGTCAATCTCCAGTTAAAAGTAGCAGCTGATGGGAAAGACTACAACCAGACAGCCCCCAGCCAGTCAGAGCAAACAAAACTGACTTTGATAGTCCAATGGTCTGACTCAGCATGTTCCCCAAACGCAATCCAGACAGTAGAAAGTGCTATTTAAGTTATAAATAGCAGTAGCACCATCCTAGCTGATGCCTTGGCCAGCGTAAGGCTCCAAGTGCAAAGACAGCCTCTGCGCTTCCCACCTCCGGAAAGGTTGCGTTTGCAGCCTCCCCCCCCTCCCCTCCCCCCCCCATGTAGAACCCTTGCTTGGGTGTCCCCAAGCGCTCCTCCGACAAGAAAAAGCGGGAGATCTCAGTGGTTCCCTGCTAAAATGAGCAGCGGCTTCCGGCTCCCAGGGCTTGAGGAGGCCCGCGCTGCCCCTGCCATTCAACGGCAACGCCAGCCGGCTGGTCTGCTTTGTAGGCCCGTGGAGGATTCCCCTCGGCGGAGGGGCATGCTGCCTTCCCCACTCTCACCTGGCTGCTCTGTCGCCTGAGGGTCTCCGAAGCCCCCTTCGGCCGTGCTGAAGCCCTCGTCGTTCTCGATGCCCGCGATCTCGCTCTCTTGCTGAGCCAGGAAGGCAGCGGCTGGGTCCTCCTCCGGGACCTCGGCAGCTCCGCTCTCCGAGGAGGAGAAGAAACCGAAATCATCAGCCATGTTTGTTTCCCTGCACCAAGCCCTCCTTCCCGGGGATGGGCGCTGAGCAGCCCTGACGTTCCCTGCCTGCAAATGTACACGCCGCCGAGCAGGGCAGTCCGCGAAAGGAAGCCCGGGCTCAGCTGTCACTGCGGCGGCGGCGGCGGCTGCAGGAGGAGCCTGACAGTGCGAGGGAAGGGAGGCGGTGACATCACCAAGCGAGCGGCGGGGCTTCTCTGGAGCCACACGAGGGCAGCACTGCTTTGAAGCTGGCTACCGGGAGACTCAGGAGTGTCCCCTGAAATCGGATCAGCTCAAGGGGGCGTTTCCACCGTCACAGCAAACGTTGTGTAAACCCAGTCTTGGGCTTTGGGGCCTTCTGTGTGTGTGAACAGGGGTGTGGACAGTCTGACAAGTCACAAATTATGGATAGGGTTACCAGGACCCTGGAGAAAAATCTCCCGTCCCTTTAGGAGAGGCTCAGTGTACCTAATAATTGCTGCACATCAAACTGATATTAAAGGAAGAACTAGGCAGAACAATTTAAAAAGCTGGAAGCCATTAGAGTTGCCAACCTCTGAGTGGAGCCTGATCTCCCAGAATTACAATTGATCTTTATATGACATAGATCAGTTCCCCTGTATGAAATGGCTGCTTTGGAGGGTAGATTCTATGCCTATGGCATTATGCTCTGCTGAGGTCCCTCTACAGGTCTGTTGTTGTTCAGTCACACAGTCAAGTCAGACTCCACGACCCCATGGATCACATCACACCAGGCCCTCCTGTCTTCTGTCGTGCTCCGGAGTTTGCTTAATTTCATGTTCCTTGCTTAACCATCTCATCCTTTGCCGTCCCGGTCTTCTTTGACCTTCAGTCTTTCCCAGCATCAGGGTCTTCTCCAGTGAGTGCTCCCTTCTCATTTGGTGGCCAAAGTATTTGAGCTTCAGCTTCAGTATCTGGCCTTCCAGGGAACAGTCAGGGTTGATGTCTTTTAGGATTGACTGATCTGATCTCCTTGCAGTCCAAGGGACTCTCAAGAGTCTTCTCCAGCACCATAATTCAAAAGCATCTACTCTTCGGCGCTCGGCCTTCCTTATGGTCCAACTCTCGCAGTCATACATTACTACTGGGAATACCATTACTTTGACCATGCGGACTTTTGTTGGCAGGGTGATGTCTCTTTTTATTATGCTGTCTACTTTTGCCATCACTATGGAGCAGGCGTCTTTTAATTTCGTGCTGCAGTCAGGCTCCACCCCCAAATCTTCAAGAATTTCCTGATCCATTGTTGGAAACCCTGGATACCCCAATTATGGAGGACACAGGTTGGGTCTGGGATCCCCATCCTGAAATGAAAGTGGGTTCTCCTCAGTTCCTGATCATGTGGTGCATGACTGTGACTTTGGCATGCAGGAAGAAGGGACATCAATTTGGTGTCGTGGTTAAGAGCGGCAGACTCTAATCTGGAGAACTGGGTTTGATTTCCCACTACTCCACATGCAGCCAGCTGGGTGACCTTGGGTCAGTCACAGTTCTCTCTGAACTGTTCTCTCAAGAGCAGTTCTCTCAGAGCTCTCTCAGCCTCACCTACCTCACAGGGTGTCTGTTGTGGGGAGGGGAAGGGGAAGGGAAAGGGATAGTAAACCATTCTGAGACTCCAAGTGAAGGGTGGGGTATAAATCCAACTCTTCTTCTCTTCTTCCCCCTTGCACTATTTTCCCAACCAGCAACAGTCCTGGGGGCAGTACTGCTTGACCTACTAGGAAAACCCATGAGTACACTTGTGGGTTTCTCAAGCAAACCAGATAGCACCACACCCTTGGATCATTTCAGGTCAGAACACGCATCACACAGGACTCAGGATTCAGGCCCTGTATCCAGCCTCCATAATGTATGATTCTGTGGCTCTGTGTTTCAAGCTAAGAATGGGTATTGGGTGCAAAAATTAGTATCCTCCAAAATCCAGCTTTTATTTTAAAACATAATGAAGGTTTCTAGCTCTTGACTGCAGAGTCATACTTAGTCCTGTATGTGCCAATCAAATGTTTGCAAGTGTACTCAATGTTCTATACAAAAGCATGCAAAATGTGGGTTATCTTTGAGAACCAAGAGTAATGCCATTTTGTTAGATTTTGGCAGGCAGTGGTGGGCAGCTAGCACTCTGGGCACCTCTGCCCGCCTTCAATAATTTTGATACAGTTTTCTGGAATGTAAGAGACAGGAACATTCTGAGAAATGCTGAGCATGAAGGAACAGAGAGAATATGGGGGAGAGAACAAAGGGTCTTCAGTATGCCTCAAATGAGATAAGAAACTTATCCACTTGCTTACTGACATGCAGAAGTTAGCCATGGGAATAGAACAAAATGCAGCTTGCGCATGTGTAAAGAAAAGTTTTTTGTGTGTAGTGGTATAAAAGCCCACCCCAGCTCCACTCAAGTGGGAGCAGAACAGATGGAGTTTATTTGCCATTCTGCATCCCCCTTATTCCTGGAATTAAGGTCCCCCCCCCCAGTCAACTGAGTGCTTCGCCTGTGTGTGCATTAATTGGAATGGCACACGCCAGGTTAACAACCCCATTTTGTCAAAATTCTGAGTTTGGATCAGTGCAGAGTAAAGATGGTTCAGTATATAAACACAGAACAAAGAGATAGTCCTTGCCTTCGATTCTAGTAAGAAGTCTGAGGGGCACTGCATCCAGATTTCATTCCCTTTGGATGAGAGAGCACTGAGGACCTCTGATGTCAGGCAAAACCTGTTCAGACAACAGCTAATGATCCAAAGTAGCAACCGTGCATCACTTTTTTACAATAATTAAGTTACTCCTTCACAGCTATTAATATGAGTACAGAAATCACAGTTTGGGTACTTTTCGCCTTCTGTGTATATTCCCTGTTGGGTTGCCAGATCACAGCCTGTTGATCCTGTCTGTTTTTTAAACTGGAGTCCTACTTATTGACACCACTCTAGGAGGAGCACAGATGAGGGAACTGAGGAAGGAATGGGAATGTGGCATAACAGCTGCATTCTCTCCCACTGCCTCAGAAGGGGCAAGCGGAATCTCTGGGTTGTAATCTAACAACCCTGTTTCTAAAATGCAGCAAGTACCATCTCTCCCCATTATTGGCCCATCCAGAGTAAAGCAACCCAAGGTGAACCCTAGACTGCATGGCAACAAAGTAGTTATAGAAACCTTGAAGACTGCTGTTCAACCAGATTGTAAACCTGATCAGCAGGACATTTAATTATATTTATTTAGATATTATATCTTGCTGTTCTACCCAGTAGGCATCCAAAGCATCTTGTAACTTCATTCTCCTTGCATCCATTTTATTCTCACAACAACAACCATGTGAGGTATGTTAAGAGTGAAAACAAGCTGAACAGGGATTTGAACCGGGGTTTCCCAGATCTTAGCCTGGCTCTCCTTTCTCACATTTCTGCATATGCCAATGAGCAATGCCAAAACAGACACCTAAAAGTGTAATACTTTCCTAAAGGTCTAGAAGTTATGCCAGTCCTGTTTCAGTGCAAGGACCCTTTGTGCCGGTCTAATGGTTGAGCTACATCCAACATGCACAAGTGTTGTGTTTGTCTCGTGTTAGAAAGCAGGTTTCAGGTTTGATGGGATGCAATTGTGTTGACTAGGAAATTTTCACTAACCAAAAACCTTTCAGTCTATTTGCATACATATCCACTTGGAATGTGAAGTTTCCTCAGAGTTTAGACACACACAGGTGCAGGTTGGGACCAAAAGAAAGATCAGTAAAGCTCTTTATAGGACCAAGTATGTCACAATGTAGTGAGTAAGATTTTGAGTTCACTGAAATTTTTCTGCTGTCTGGATAGTAAGCAAAAGAGAGAGAGAGAGGAGGAGGAGGAGAGGGGGTGGGTGTGAAAAAAGATGATACAGGACTGATGAATAAGCCCAATCATGTCTCTGAAAGGCATAACTGGCAACAACCAACACATAATAGCAGTATTATGTAACTGACCTCTACACTTGGCCTATTTTGCAATAAATGGATCCTTCAACCTCATCAGTGTGGCAGAGGAGATTTTGTTTACCATGGGGCCCGAGGAATATCACTGGCCCTCACCTGCTGCCCCCCCTGCCCCCCAAGGGACTCACAGTGCATTAATTAATTACAAAGAGTAGCCCACAGTGGAAAAGGCAGCTGGCTGAAAGTGACTCCTCCCTACAGTAGAAATAATAATTGAAAAGCATTTAGCAAGAAAATGATAGCCAGATATTCCAAAATTCAGAGAGGTATTATACGGGCAGGTAGGACTGCCAATGTAGGACCAAGGTTCTGTGTCTCTTACAAAAAAAAAAAAAGAATTTTGGCAGGTACAGCTTCTTCTGTCACAGTGCTGTAAAGACAAATAAAACTCAGCTAGCTTGTCAAGAGCAGCTGTAAAAGAAAAGGAGCCCCGTGCTGTATTGCATGAAACTATAATCAGTTGATTATGTTCCTTTAAAGTATTAACTAGAAAAGAGGCAGAACATCAACTGTCATTTTCCATTCAACTTTCTCAACGCAGGACCTCTATAAAGTAATTTGTCATGCTGGTAGCATACCCTTTGTTCAAAGTGCTTTCAAGGGAAATAATTTTTAAGGGATATCTTTTATAAGTGTTTACTAAGTTTTAATGTCTATGGAAATTTCCTAGATTTTTAAAAATTATATATATTGTTGCTTTGTATAGTACTTGAGGTTTTTATTGTATTCTTTGTAATTTTTGTAATCTGATTTGCATCTGTGAGAAAGGTGATTTATAAATGAAGTAAATGATAATAGTAATAACATAGATGGGTTGTTTTTCTTTTTCTTACAATAACTTTGTAAGGCAGTCCTAGGTTGACACATAATGACTTCCCAAGGCTACCTGGTGAGCAACAGAGCCAAACAGGGATCTGAACATCAGCATCTAACTGCTAAACCTACCACTCCAACCATTTTACCGTATTGGTTCTTCTTGCCAGATAAGAGGGGATGCCTATTTAAAGATGCCATAGAAATTCTTAGTACTAGCAATATTTATATTTGGATTCCATCCTTCTGCCAATAAACTCAATGCTTTATTTCCCCTCTTCTCAACAACCCTCTAAGGTAGGCTAGGTTGAGAAACAGTCACTGGCCCAAGGGCACCCCATGAACTTCAGTACTAAGTAGGAATTTGTACTCAGGTCTTCCACTATCAACTACACCACACTGATCCTCATAAACTGTAGATTGTACT